TGGCATCCTGACAATCAATGAAACTGTAGTGCAGAGCCTCTATTTGGTGACAAATAAGCATGTCCACAAGAATCCTATCATGTCACAAATCACTTAAAAATTAAACATTGATCATTATCAAAAGGGCAAGCTGTTAATACAGAAAAAGTCTCAAAACCTATCGAGTCAATCATCACTATAATTATGTCGTTAAACACCATAGTTAAACCAAACTCTTGATACCTATTTTAACCAAATTAAAAGCATAAACAAATATTTCATGGTAGCATAGATACTCAAAAGGCACATTAAGATTCATATGCCTTGTAAAAGTAAAGAACAAACCCTTCCAGCATCAGCAGCCATGGCAGGAGCAATGAGAACATTAGCTTTTCTCAGAATATTAACAGCCTTAGGGGTAAATGACATATTCAAACCTAGGCAGCACATAATAATATATAATAATATCAGTTCATATAGAGGGTTTGTATCATTTTAATTTATTAAATTCCCCCTATTTTCCCTCTGTTATTATAAAGTGAATGATTATGTGGAATAATAATGTATGACTACAACGAAAATGAATAAAACCCACCATTTGTAAATAAATTGGTATATCGTACTCTAGTGTATTATATCAATGACAAAGGATATACTGATCTCTTCAAACAATCTAAAATGGTTATTAATTTAGAAATGGTAAAAAAAAAATTATTCCTTTCACTTTATATTTATATGACGCAAAGAATCCTTCTTGTTGCTTTGATGCTAGCAAAGGTATGTTGTTTTCTTTTGTCCTAGCTTTAATGTCATATTCTTTTCTTTAAACAAATATTCCCTTGGTTCTAATTAATTTAAAAAATCTTTTCAATATTGCTTTAATGTCATCTTCTTTTCTTTATGCAAATCTTATCCATTCCTTGTAATCTTTAAGATAATATTTCAGATTTTGTATAAAATTCACTAAATCTTGTATAGTGTGGCTATCCGACTGTCAATTTAGTAGATATCTTCTAGAAAATCTTCTGATTTTCTTTTTACTGACTCCCATTTTCTTCTTCTCTACTCTTAAAATTTGTACCTTAAATCAAAATTAAAATTAGACCATTTGCTTGTAACTTGAATGCCATGTCGTTCTCTAATGTATGAAACGAACGACAAGACCTTTTCTCAATATACATAATCATGAGGTTCTCAATATACATGCTTCACCATTAGGTACATATTGAACTTGTTTGTGTTACGGATATTAATGGTCGTTGCTCGACTATTTTCCTTGCACTTGGTACATGCTATACTACAAGCACATTGAGACGAGGGACAACGGTTTATGATAGAAAGCAAAAGATATTGCAAGCTCTATGTCTAGCAGTCGAGTTTCAGTACACACACGAGATAGGATGCATTGACCCCATTTGCAATTCATCTTGTTATGAATCTTCATTTTCCCTGCATTTGTCTGAGTTTGCATGTACTCAAAATGATGAAGATTGACAAATTAAAGTGTTTGGCCCTGCTAAAATTACTCACCAAGACATGAGCATTCTGTTTGACTGAGCACATTTTCTTTCTGTTTCAAAATTGAAGTTTCAAATTACTCACCATAATTGAGAATTCAATTACCCACTGCCGTAAGATTAAATCATGATAATTAGTAAGAACAACGAAATGTAAAATAGATAAACATAGTGATTATAATGATGGGAAATATATATATTAAAAAAAAAATAACTCTAATACAAAGTGAATTGTCAAGAATATAACTAGATGAATTAATTAAAAAAAAATTAATAAATACATATTAAATGATAATAAAGGATATGATAATGCAAAAATAGTGTCACGACACTTTATATAGATCACGTTGTATAAAATTCTTTGTTAATGTAGTATTACCCATATTAAAATAGGGGATAAAAATCAATTTTCTTAGTTGTCATGTCATGTAATCCAACCTTCCAAATTGTGATGCATATCTTCTCAATATTTCAATTCAAATTAATTATTAAAAAAAAAATACCCTTAATTTTGCCTTTATTTTGAATTCTACACTTGCTTTTTTATTCATATTTTTTTTTTTTATATTATATGAATAATACATTTTTGTTGTATTCTTTTTCCATATTTTAAATTTTCACGGGCCTGATAGGCCCAATCTTTTGGAAGGATGAGCCTCACAAGTTAAATTAACTTGAGCCCAATGGTGGATTAGCCTTAGCCATCAAGTCCATGAATTTTTGAAAGCTTAAATAAAGCTATTATCTATCGATCTTTTTGTAATTCTGGTTATTAGAATTAAGGAACCACAAAACCCATTGCCACAAACAAACTAAACCCATATCTCAAATCCCAACAATGATCATGCCAAATGAACTATAAAGACATGTTTGACACGCATCATGACATAGTATTAAGTAAATATGTATAGCATTATTTAGCATTGCATTGCATTCTATAATACTATACAAAATATTGTATAATGTTCAAAGTCGTTCAACAAAAGTCAAAACAAAACTTGAATAGACTTGTGGTCAATTTTGTTCAACAAAAGTCAAAGTAGTAGTCAAACATGGTCAACGCCAATCAAACACTGGTCACTATCGATCAACCTCTGATTAACTTCGATCAAACTCTAGTTAACGTTTGTCAATAGTGGTCAACGTCAATCAATGCATTTGCCACTATAAATTTAAATTTATAAATACTAATTAATATTAATTAACTAATACAATGGTTTTACAAGGCATTTTTTAATTTAGAATAGATTGCATTATTTTAATTTTTGTACTAGTTAGCACAATGCAAATTTGGTAACACTATATTGTATCTTTTAGTGTTATTCTTGTATCTAATGTTATGTTATGTCATGCACTAAATATTCTATTGGTTGAGCGAATTATAAAATTAATGGTTTCTAAATGTTGATTAGATATTAAGAGTCTGCTAGAAATGAAAGTTTGAGATAGACAATAGAAAGCATTATAAATATTCAATTTGTCATTCAAAAACTAATAATTCAAGCAAATATAATTCCATTCAGAAAATAAAATGCCTTCAACTAAGAACATATCAAATACACTTTTAACACTTATCAATCCATTGAAACCATAAAATAAAATCAGAAAATTAAGATGCATAACTCAAACATATCAAACAAAGTTTTCCCTTTTATTAATTCATCAAAACTCAAAAAATAAATTAACACAACCAACATAATAACCTTAAGATATCTTTTTACATTTCGTCAATTCTGTAAGACAATGTATTTTCGCCAACATGATGCGAGAATAGATTTGGAGCATTCACAAGTTCCTCCTTCAAAAATTGGCACCTTCTTATATGTAAACTCAAACTGCCGCACAAGTAATATGGCAATAAAAATACTTGTTTAAGCACGTAAAAAGACATTAATAACTGGAAAGAAAAAAGAGAAGAAATCTAGTCTTAGAAGTGCACAGGCAAAAAGATTTTATCTACCACTGAACTTGTATACGTGGCTCCCGTTAAATATAAGTAGACCTAACCAACCAAACTAATCTTGAAGACAATGTGTTTTGTTTTCACGTGGCGAAGAGGATTTTCCATCACTTAGGAAAGAAAAGTAATATTTTTTCTTGATGATGCAGACGTGGCACCATGAAGCTATCAGCAGATTTGGAGTAAATTCACCATTTCTGATGTCACCCCACTTAATTGCAAAATTGTAAATGCCTGTGATCTCAGCATTTAGTTGCTAAGTAATGGCCAAAGCAGTGAGAGCTGCAAGCCAATTTTGACACTCCACGGGAGCCATGGATATTATGAACTCATCAAAACAACTCAGCGGGAAAACTTCTGCACATAAGGCATATTCTGCCCAAACCCCCTGCATCACATAATAAGAGTAGGCAACTATTTCCCCTTATTCTGGTCATCACTCTGCACATCGTGTTTAAAGGTCATTCTCAGTAGCACGCAGATTGTACAAATAAATGTTATTCTGGTCATCACATAAGCCGGTGTCCTACAGTTCCCCTCGAGTCTTGACGAATTTTCAGCACAAAATTAACACCAAATGCCCTGTTTTCTCTTCAAAATCTCTGTTCTCTGTTGTCCTCAGCCTTCAATTATCAACAGAATGGCCCCCAAAGGCACCAGCTTTGCCTTGGCCTAATCAAATCAGTCAAGCTCTCCAGCATCTCTTATGCATAAGCCTGTCAAAAAACATTTTATTTTATCAAAAGAAATAACTGTTGGACAGTTTTGACTGTGTAGACGAAAGGAAAAAGGAGGTAATTGTGCCTAGATTATATGGAATGCTATTAGTCCAATTACTTGCACATCAACAGGACCAATGAGTTTCAGAAGAAACCATGGAGAGTTCATGTGCGGTTTGTCTCACCTGCCTGCATGAGATCAGAAAACAGAACATAGATGAGATAATTGCTGCTTGTTTGCAGCCTTTTTTGTGCAACTAAATTCTTATAAATAAAATCCATGTTAACAAACTCAAAGAGGGGTGTAAACATCTCAAACAAGAGCAGAAGTACCCTGAAATATCCATATACCATCCTCACAAGATAACATGGTCTCCCCTCTGTTCTATTTTGGCATCATCCCTCCAGGCTCCAACGAACTGAATTTTAATGTGTCTATAGTAATCGAAAAGTCTGCATTTCAATTTCTCAATCTCTATTCTGATATGGCTAAATCACTTGTTTCCATAGTCAACAAGTAATAAGCTTATGTCAACACGGATTCAGTCAATGATGTCACACCACTTAATTTCGCAAATAAGTACATAATAGTTGTAATCTCAGACTTTGTGCTCCAATGAATCATTGCCGTTCAATTATTTTGCAAAAAAACTGACCCTTGAGATAAACTCCACCACACATGACTCTTAATGCGTGTCTATATATAGACACATATGAAGACAAGCCTTTTATCAATAATAAATATCTCATTAGTCCTACCACGTGTATCAATTATATAAGGTGAATAGAAGGTATAGGTAGAGCCTTATCACAATTAGCATAAACATTAAAAACCTTGTGACTTCTTAATTTCTCTTTTTTTTAATCAATTCATTCAATATGGCTGAAGCACTTGTTTCCATAGTCTTGGATCAACTGGCTTCAATCGGCCATCAAAGAGTAGGAGGACGGATAAGGCTGATTGCTGGTGTTGAGCAAGAAGTTGAAAAGCTTCAAAGCAATTTCGTTGCCATTCAAGCTGTGGTTGCTGATGCTGAGAACCGACAATTGAAGGAGAATGTTGTGAGAGATTGGTTAGAGAAGCTCAAAAACATATCCTATGACATAGATGATGCGTTGGATGAGTGGAACACAAAGATTCTGCTTAAAGAAGCTGAAAACAAATATGCTTCTAAGCCTTTGAAAAAGGTACGTTATGTCATTCTTCACTATCTTAGTTGTGGTTCACTGGTTTTACGTCGTAAAATTGCTATCAAGATAAAAGATCTAGATGAAAAACTTATTATTATTGCTGTGGAGAAAGAGAGGTTCCACTTTAGATCTATCACTGAGGTTAGCAAAGAAGTAGAACGACCAGTGACAACCTCTGTAATTGATTTAACAGAGGTTTATGGAAGAGATGATGATAAGAATACAATACTAGATTTGTTGTTAAGTCATCAAAGCAATCAATAAGTCCTCCCCATTATCTCTATAGTAGGGATGGGAGGACTTGGCAAGACAACTCTGGCTCGATTAGTTTTTAATGACGATAAGGTGAACACTCATTTTGATAAAAAAATATGGGTGTGTGTTTCCGAGCCTTTCGATGAGCTTAGGATTGCCAAAGCAATCCTTGAATCTCTTACAAATAATGCACCAAACTTAAATGTGTTAGAAACAGTAGTGCAAAACATACGTTGACATATAGAGGGAAAGAAATCCCTTCTTGTCTTAGATGACATATGGACTGAAAATTCAAAAGATTGGGATCAATTGAAGCATCTTTTTCGATGTGGTTCTCTAGAGAGTAGAATTTTAGTGACCACACGTAAAGAGAATATTGCAAATGTCATAGGAACCACCAAAATGATCTCACTAGGGATACTACCTGACGAGAAATGTTGGTCATTATTTAGTCGCATTGCTGTTTTTGGAAAGACCAATGAAGAATCTAATAGATTTGTAGAAATTGGTAGAAAATTTGTTCAAAAGTGTAAAGGTTTGCTGCTTGCTGTAAGGACTTTAGCGAGTCTTTTGTGCTATAAAAGAACATTTGTCGAGTGGCAAAATATCTTAGAGAGTGAAATATGGGAATTAGAAGAGGTAGAACATGAGCTTTTTCGACCTCTACTACTGAGTTATTATGACTCATTCCCTCTTTTAAAAAAATGTTTCTCATTTTGTGCAATTTTTCCAAAGGATTATGAAATAAAGAGAGAACAATTAATTAGGTTATGGATGACTCAAGGTTATGTGAGGTCAAAACCAAATAAGGATATGGAGTTAGTTGGTGAAGAGTATTTTGAAACTTTAGCAATGCGTTCTTTCTTCCAAGATTTTCAAAAAGATGAAGAGGATATCAATATAAAGTCCTACAAGATGCATGATATAGTACATGATTTTGCTCAATTTCTTACCCAAAATGAATGTTATACAACAAAGGTTGATGGTACAAGAGAATTTGAATTACTATCTTCTTATGATAATGTTAAACATTGAATGATAAAGATTCAAGGAGGGGCCTCATTTCCTAGCTCTATTTAAACTAGAAATACAGTCTAAAACTCTTGTTGTTTCATATCACTTTGAAGTTTGTTTTTGGATTGGAATGATTGAACTTTATCTATTACCTTTACATATCGACTTCAAAACCCCACAAATACTGATTTTATATTAACTTTGTGAGAAATATTGTATGGTCAATTTGGGTTGGATCGATGTTAAGATTTTCAACTAAGTAAGTTGAATTATCAAAGGGCTCTGTCATCTCTATTGCTTCTCATGGGCCATGCTAGAGGACGTGGTTTATTGGACCACCCTCTCTTTGGTTTAACATTTCTGCCTACAACCGACAATATGTGGGACTGCTGCTTAATCACTTGGCATTTGGAGAAACTTGACCCACTATGAGAAGCCCAATTTCACCTAATGAATTTTCATGAGTAACTATATTTGAGCCCCACTTTATTGTTTACCCTCCTGTTTTTTGTTTCTTCCCTTTCAATCATAGTAATTGTACTTGGGTTCAAAGCATTCAAATTCGTTTTTGGAGTTTACACAAATGTTTTTAATCTGAAGAACGTCTACTAAGTTGTAAGAACCCAAAACTTATAATCAGATCCTAATATTTCACTATGAATGTGAAATGTTACATGAAATATACCAAGAAAACACATTTTTAAATATAAAACCAATAGAAAACGGTGTCAATTGTATAACACTATTATTCTCTTTAGACAACGAGAATCAATTTATTGTGTTGTGGGGCTGGTACAAATGGGCACTAATTTGAAGAGAAGAAGCCATGACTTTGCTTTAATTCCTTGTCCACAATTAATGCTTTTTACATCAACGATAATTATTAATGTCTTTTGTGATTTAGGCATTACCATTGCTGGATCAACCATGATCATGTTGCTACTCGCTATGCTTTCTCATTTGGTTACTTATAGTTGTGAAAATTTCAAGAAAAATACCAATAATGGTGGATGTGCTCGCGAGGGGTTCTGCTACCTTACCGGCCTAGTATTGTTAATGGGCTATTAAATGCTTGCAGATCATGGTTAATAATTATATCTTGAATGAATATTTATAAACTTAAATCATAGTTTAGTTTTCGAGAAAACTGAAAATACTAAGAAAAAATGTGCAAATGAAAAAAAATCAAACAGTAGCTAAGGGAAAAAAAAAAAAGTCAAGGCAAAAACACAAAAAAGCACAACGATTTACGTGGTTCGGCCAATATGCCTACGTCCACGGCTGGTGATGTTGGTTTCACTAAATGAGATGGAACAAGAATTACAAAACACTCTCACACCTCTTCCAATAAGTTTAGGATCAAAAGCCTCAAACCACAATAAATCCTAAAGAGATTGTTCTAATGTAAGAGCGGAAAATCCATGTGTTTCTCTCCACAATCTCTCTTATGTTTCTAGCTCCCCCCTTGTTATGAAACAAGATTATCTCAAGGTTTATATAAGTTTACAAAGAAAAAACACAATTATGCCCTTAATAAAGAGTGGCCAAATTTGGCCAATATTCAACCATCTCTTGGTTTCATGACACAATTTCAGCAACATAATGAGGATTATGTATGCTCCCTTTCGAGCATCTCTTGGTTTCATGACACAATTTCAACAACATCCGGAGGATTATGTATGCTCACTTTTGAGCAAAATTCATAGTGCGATGCCTTAATTTCTGTTCAAAATTTATATTCTCTCTATTGTCTTTAGAGCTCATCAAATTTTTTGATGATAACGTCGGCACAATCAAGAACATCCTATTCAAACCCTGTCATTGTGATATACAATGTTAAGAAAAGCTTCAATAGTTGAAGAAAACATAACACAAATTGATCTAGATAATTCTCCATAACAAACTTAGTCATTTTTTAGACTAAAAATTGTGGAGAAGACATTACCTTTTCGACAACAGTGATCTCGCATATAAAAGAGCTAGTTCTTCAAAGCATGACATTTGATATAGTGTTGAACTTTCTTTACTGCATCAAGAATGAGATATGAAAACAAAGTATTACATAATGTAATTGAATATATTAATAGCTAGAAGACAACAAAAACAAACCTCTATGAGTTATAAAAAGATTTTGCTTACTGAATTTGGGGAGGATGGAAGAGCTAACTGACGTAATCTGCAAAAGGGGCAACAAGAAGTTGATAACGTTCAATAATTGCATGTAAAAATAAAGAACAATTAAAAAAAATATGCTTCAAAAATTTCACTAGTTGGTCACTTGCTCAGCCTATTGTCTCTCTTTCATATCACAAACACCAATGCAATTGACAAATCAAATATCTTCTGCTGTAACATGTAATTGTGAAAAGAATTCACAAAAACATAATTGCAGAATATATAATTTCCAATTTCTTACTCATTGAAAAACAACAAGACATCCGTTGGTGACACAATTTTGCAAATTAAAGTACCTGAATTTGGGATTCTGGAAAACAGACTATATCACTATATGAAAGATCCTAAAGGAGCTTAACTATATGCACTATTCCCTTACCAACTTTATGTCAACAACCACTTTGAAAATTTGATATTTTAAGTCATTTTAACAGTTATATGTGTCAACTTTCACAGGACTAGTAGAAGGGGTGGTCATCAAGTAGCAGTTGGTTCGGAAGTCACTTTTACTACAGCAAATTCTCTAGGTTCCACTCAGAAAAATATAATCTAATATTTCATCAATGTGATTAAAAGGCCCGAAATATTGAGAAATGGGGTTGGTAATTTCTGCATATGCTTTAATCTATTTGCATTTTTGAAGTTATAAGTCAACAAGAATTGAAATGAAATACATAGTCGTAACTGTAATTTAGATTTGAAGTCCTAAGGTTGCACTCATGATTTAATTCGAGTTCACCAGCAACAACCTGTAGCCAAGTTGGTCAACAACTTAATAAATAAATACATATCAGACAAAGTTAATGAAAAAATTTGACAAAACCAAAATTGAAATGGACGAATGTAAGGCAGTCAAGCAGCCACGGCTAATATGCCCCACCTTCAACTCAAAAATATGTGGAAAGAGTTCAAGAACATATTCAACCCGCTTGGATAAAGTTATATAAGTAAGTGGGTTGATGTGCGGCCTATTCTTATATGGCTACATAGTAGCATACACAATAATTTAGAGCATTTACGAATAATTTGTAATAATTCTGCATAGATTCATCCATAGTTAGCCTTACTAATTAATGGTTTTGGAATGTATCTACTTTCATTCACATCTATAGTTAGCCGCATTCTAAAACAAAAATGTGTTCTTAAGCATGGCATCCTGACAATCAATGAAACTGTGGTGTAGAGACTCTATTTGGTGACAACTAAGCATGTCCAAAAGAACCCTATCATGTCACAAATCACTGCAAAATTAAAAGGGCAAGCTGTTGATGCAGAAAAAAGTTCCAAACCTATTGAGTCACTCATCACTGTAATTATGTTGTTAAACACCATAGTTAAACCAAACTCTTGATACCTATTTAAACCAACCAAACTAAATGCATAAACAATTATATGGTTGGGACTCAAAATCCGCCGGAGGGAAGGGCAAGGAAAGACCACCTAAAAATAAGAAAGCGACAACCCTACATTAAGGAAATTGAAGAGGCCTTCGATTCCATGTTAGCATAGATACTCAAAAGGCACATAAAGATTCATATGCCTTGTAGAAGTAAAGAACACACCCTTCCAGCATCAGCAGCCATGGCAGGAGCAATAAGAACATTAGCTTTTGTCAGAATATTAACCGCCATAGGGATAGATGGCATATTCAAACCTAGGCAGTACATAATAATTTATAATAATTAAAGAAATGACTTGAAAAATAATAATAATGAAAAATAACAGAGAATAATGAGAATATAAGAAGAAAAATACAAGATAAATTCAACGTGTCAAACAACCTCTTTCAAGTGTTTTTAAGTACCTGAAAATGACCAGCAAGACGTCTATATTGCCCAAAGAGATACTCCATCTCTCGGGTGCAAACACACATCTCTTCTGATGGAAGATCCTAAAATTGAACAAAACAGTAAATCGGGCATGGAGATGTGGGTCATACAACTCAGAGACTCCAAAACAGATTAAAGATGAAAAGGAGATCTTCTTAAGTTACCTTGTCAGGACCCAGATATATATAGATCTCATTTATGAAACTTTGGCAAAAGCGCATGATCTGCCATCATGGGTTTCACAAAGAACTGTAAGAGAAACTTTCAGAATTTCTTAGAAGATTCTTACTGAAATACCATCTTAACATAGAACAAACATATTACCTCATAATCACTTTTTCCTTCAGGATCATAATCACTTCCGCCTGCTGCCCCTCCAAGTTTGTATGGTGATTAAGCATTCTTTAATGTCTGTAAAACAAAGAAACTATGATACTGTATAGCAGTTGAAGCACTTAAACAATTTTCAATCATATTATAAACTATGAAAGCTATTTTGTGTTTATAAAAAAATTGAAACAACTCTGAACTCCAAAAATTTGAGTTTTGATCTGCTCGTGCTTGAATTGCTTCAGAAACTTAGAGATTTCTTTGCACTAGTTATATTTATATTGATCACTATTGTATGTCAAAAGTTTACAGCACAAGTGTCTTGTGTGAAAGCCCCGACTACACTGAGGGCCTATGAAAAAATATGGAACAATATGTGCAAGACATGCTCCCTCAAGCATGGCTTTTATTAACCATCTAACGAAGTCAAAAAAGGAGAGAATAGTTTTCAAGCTTGTCACTCTGGTCAAGAATATCAAAAATATGCCTCATTAATCACAATAATAAGAAATCACAACTAACCAAAAAAGGAAAAAAAAAAAAAAAAAAAAAAAAAAAAAAAAAAAAAAAAAAAAAAAAAAAAAAAAAGGGAAGTCAAGACGAAAAATTACCGCATCGTGCAAAAAAGAACAGGAAGAAGGAACACATTCTTTCGACTACTGAGCTTGTATCATGCATCACTACTGCTCAAGAAAACCACAGAAAATTATGGGTCCTATTGGAGTGTTGTGACACCTTGATGCCTGACACTAAGAATCACTTTCAGAACTCAAAAGATACCTTGTGTCCATGGGATAACAAAACAAAAAATTAAAAGAACTGATAGCATTATGAGAGTTTATTTTAAAGTGGTTTTTTACACAAGATTTAAAACAATTTGATGCAAATCCAATGAACCAAGAATAATTTAAACAGAGGAATTACCTCATTTCATAGTCTGTATGAACATCATTTCTTCAAAAAAGAATTTGATATCTAACTAAACGGCCCAAAAGAAAACAGAACTTCTATCATGAGATTGCTTTAAGTGGAAAATAAGAGAAGAAAACATAATTTGTTATTGAAACATTAGAAACCTTTTTCCTTTAATCACGTCTCCTAACTTTTTGGTTCTCCTATTTCATCCTTGCTCCTCGAGTCCAATGTCTGCCAAACTATTCCGTGTTCTATTCACATAAACAACACAAATAAAAAGTATGAGTATCTCAAAATGAGATTATAAATATATTTACTTAATGACGTATGCTTAATTAGACAAATAGAAACTAATGTACCATGTGATTTCTAAACAAGGCATCTGTCCATCGCTCAAGAGCAAGTATTTTGCTTCATCACTTCTCCCACCTTCATACATTCTCGTTTCTTGTCATAGTCCTAAGCATTTAAATTCCCAACTATTTTGACTGTGATTCACATAAACGACCGAAAAGGCGAGCATGATTTTCTGAGAGGCAAATTTATTCAGTCAACTGATTTATGATGAATTAGGCAAACAAGAATATCATTTTCTCCCTGTTCTGCTTTGGCATCATCCCTTTAATAAACTGGATTTTAACTATTCCACAATAATTAAGAAGTCTGCAGTTTCTTCAAAGTAATGAAAGGAAATATCAGATTAATGAAACTTAGAAGAACAATTTTACAGTTATATACAACAGTTAAATCACAGCAAAAGCAGTATCAGAACTGATGATGTCAACAACTTTGGACTATGATCTGAATTTATTGTGGAGCCTGCAACATTCAGGAAAGAGAAATCCTTAGCTAAAACTTAAAGAACCAATACATAATAACATAATCAAGCTATAGCCAACAAAGTTTGATACCGTTGGGTGCAAAATAATGGCCAAATCATCTAAAGCTGCGATCTGATTTTGACGCATTGCCGGAGCAAAAGATATCAAAACTCATCTGAGAAACTCACTACTTCTCCACATAAATCATCAGTGATTCTGCCCAAACTCCTCTTCATGTAAGAAAAAGCGCATTTTTCCTGATTCTTGTCATTGCTCTGCGCATCATATTGGAAGATCATCTTCAATAATATGCATAATTATCCAAACAATCAACCTCTTGATAAATGGCACAATTAAAGAAATACTAAACATCTCAAGACTTGAATTCCGTGTTACAAGTATATTAAAAAACTCACCAAAACGACTTCCATACAAAAGGCATCCGTAACTCTACCAAAACTCTCTTTCGTATGAGAACATGCAGCCGTTTCCCCTGATTCTGGTCATTTTGCTGCTCATAATGCTGGAAGGCCATCTTCAATAGCATGCATACAATATAAACAAGCAGCCTGTAGACAAGATGAGGCAAAATAAGAAACACCAAACATCTCATGACTTATTTGGATACCATGTTGCTAGCATATGTGTATTATTTTGGCTTCATTCGTCCATTGGACTGTATTTTGTTGTGGCTGCAGCGTTTGAGAAGTCTGCAATTTTCACAAGGTAACAAAAAAGAAATATGAAATTGAAAAAAAAAAAAAATAGAATGACAAGCATTGGTTGCATAAACAGCTATAACTGATAAATGAAGATTAAGAAAGAGCTCAATTGGCTAAACAAAGTACCTAAAAATGGTTTGGAAATCATCCACAACTATATGTAACAAAGCCAGTATTTGTTCATCAAACTTATGTGAAACTTGCGGCTAAGATGCTTTAGAAACTCTCCTTTTTTATCGCATTTATAGGTGCCCAAGATTTACAAGAACTGACGATTTCAACAACGTTGCAATGGGATCTCCAAAAGTAATCTAGAGCCTGCCAAATTCATAGAATGAGAAAGTCTTAGCCAATACAAACAGAACAAAACCCAAATATATAATGAAGGATTTGCCAGCCAAGTTTAATACCTCCGATTGCAGCACAATAGCTGAAGTAGTGAGAGCTGTGATCTGATTTTAATTAAAGATCTCTGTTACTCCTATCAAGAACAGATCATCTCAAGATGCCAGGATCTAACTGAGAAAGTTTAACAACCACCATCTGCAATGACTTATATGGATATATAACACAAAGGTTTAATCAACAGCCTAGGCACCAGGGTCATCAGTCAAATTCTTCTTTCATTATCTGTCAAGAGAGATGGGAAAGCTGAAATTACTTCCCAATGCCATAGTTTCCCAGGCTTTCTGTCACCAACATAGAGTGAAAAGCGATTTCAACCTAAAAAGAACAAGTGATAGCATTCTTACCATTATTATCAGAAAAATAATAAAGCCACCAATCCAAACATTTGAAGCAGTTCAAATGACTCTTTGACATCTACTTGATTAAAAATATAGAAAATTAAATTAAATTAAATTATTCAGTCTTTAACTTCTCACATTCTGTTTCTTTAACAATAAAGTGATAATGAACTAAATCAAATGTTACTAATACTCTCAATGTGTGTTTCTTCACTAAAAATAAAAACAAGAACAACGGAAAGCATGACGAAGCCAAAATTTTCTTCAACAACGCACACGAAGATAACTTTACTTTACCATTAAGTTGAAGAGTCTCTGAAGCAACATCACCCCACACCATGGCTCCAAGTCCTCCATTATCAATCGGAATCGCATAGGTCGTCCAATGCTTGGCGAGCCCACTCAACGTAACCTTCAACGGCTTAGAACTCTCTCCTCCATCTCCAAATACTCGGGTTCCACAAGTCTATCTCTTAGCTCCCCGCACCAGAACCCACTAAACCAAACCCAGAAAAAGGGCAAAATGACGATATCAACACCCATCACCAAATATTCTTGAATATTGAAGACGATCGAAAAAACAAAGCGAAGATTAGAATATTAAAGACGAAGAATGACGATTGAACACAGAAGAGAAGAATGAAGTTTAGTTGGGTTTAATCAATATTATAAGAATTTTAATAATATTTGTTTTTAAGACAATTTTTAACCAAATTTTGCATTTATTTAAGTTATGTAAATCAACTTTTCATGCATAAAAATAAATAAATTAAATTGATCTAACCAAATAAATACTAATCTTAAAGACATGATATTTTGCATTTATTTAAGTTATCTAAATACTTTTATAAATTTTCTTTTATTATAATTTTGCATGTCTTTAAAAAATATTATAATAAATGCAAAATATCATGTTTTTAAAAAATTCTAAATCAGTTTTGCATGCACAAAAATAAATAAATTAAATTTATCTAACAATTGGTTAAATGGAAAATGATAGACTTACCGACTGGTGTGTACCGATTTTGTGCACCGAATGACGTGACAAAATCCTGGCCGTTGATTAATATTAATTGATAATAAATAAACGGTCAGGATTGTGCCACGTCATTCGGTGCACAAAATCGGTACACACCAGTCGGTAACTGTAGCATTACTCTTGGTTAAATAACCAATGTATTCCTCTAAATAAGAGTAATAAATAAAACATTATAAGAAGAGTAATAATCAGTTTTAAGACATAATATAACTAATGTAATCCTCTAAATAAGAGTCCTACTGAAAATAATAAAAAACATTATTGTAATATAAGATTTTGAATTACAAAAAGGAGAAGGGGAATGAATTTACCAATGGGTGAATAGCAATTGCATCTCTCACATAGAGAATTTTGGAATGTGAGAGATCTTGCTCCTATCATCTCCTGTCTCCTTGTAACGTTCTTCCAGAAAACGGCAACCACCAATCTCTACTTGCTGCAGTGTTGGTGTTTGAAGAATTTGTTCTGGCAGTGCCTTCAAATTCGAACATAGTTTAATTTCCAAAAAATGAAGAGATGGCATGATTGTAATATCTTTGTCTCTATTATTTGTAATCTCATGATTCCACTCTTCCCATGCATATAGCCATGTGAAATGAAGGAATTTCAATTTGGGAAAGGTAACAATTGATGATGATGATGATGATGTGACATCATTTTCTATTCCCAAAAATTCATTACCCACTCTTTTTATACAACCCATCCACTTTATCTTTAGTGATTCAAGGGATGGTAGTTTTCCCAAAGGAGGTAAATACTCACAATTGTTGAAATCATAAAGCTCTAACTCCTTCAACTTGGTTAATGATACCATCCAATCAAAAGACATGGATTTGCCTTCAAAGTATTCTATCCGTAATTTCTCTAAATTTGGAGGTGGTTGTAATGCTTCAATAATCATTACATTCTCCTCATTTCCTCTTCTCTCATCACACTGAATACGAAATGATAAAGTCAAATGAAGGAGATTATCGGTACTCTGAAAATTTGCAAGTTTAAGTGCATTACTATCCCTCACATTTACCAACTCTAACTCTAAAGATGGGCCCAGTTTCAAGTTCTTCAAAGAATCAAGACTAGTGCATGCTTTGTTACCATCATCATAATCACCATTAATAACGAATTTATTTAATGTCTTTAGACAACTCAATCTCTCTACTCCTTTTGGAATGTACCTTAATCTCCATGTCCTACCAATTAATAGATGCCTCAAATTAACTAACTTTCCTATCCCTTGGGGTAGCTTTTTAATCATGTAACAACCAGTGACATCCAAGGTTTGTAGATTATATAAATCACATAATACCTCAGGCAATTTTTCTATATTATAATTATCCGTCAACTTAAGGTACCTCAAATGCACTAGATATTTTATTCCTTTTGGAATTTTTGCATGACAATCACATAGATTTAATGTCCTCAGACATGTTAATTGCTCAAAATATCGGGATAGGTCTCCTTCATAAAAGTGTGCCCTCTCAACTACAAAACTACGCAATTTTTTTAGATTAAGAATAAATCTAGGAACTGAACTATTACTTCTTACGTATAAATGTCGAACACTTTGATAAGAAATCTCTAATTGAGGAATTGAATCACTCTCAACTTCTATCGCAAGACATTCATTATTTGAAACAAATTGAACAAAGTCATGCACTATATCATGCATCTTGCATCTTAAAATACTACCATCATATTCACTTCTTTCAAAATCTTGAAACAAAGAACGCATTGCTAAGTTTTCAAAATATTCTTCACCAACTAATTCCATTTCCTTGTTTCCTTTTACCTTAAGAAAACCTTGAGCCATCCATAACTTGATTAATAAATCTTTCTCTATCACATAGTCCTTTGGAAATACGGCACAATATGAGAAACACTTTTTTAGTATAGAGGACAAATCATAGTAGCTAAATAATAGAGGTGGAAAAATCCTTTGTTCTACCACTTCTAATTCCCATATTTCACTATTTAAAACATTTTCCCACTCTTCAAATTTTCTTTTAAAGCGCAAAAGACTACCTAAAGTCTTTATAGCAAGAGGCAAACCTTTACACTTTTTGACAATTTTTTTGCCGATTTCTTCAAACTCTTTATTAGTTGTTTCAAAAATTGCAAGTTGACTAAACAAAGACCAACTTTCATCCTCCGACAGTACCCCTAGTGAAATTATTTTGGTGCTTTCAATGACATTTGCAACAGTCTCCTTACGTGTGGTCACTAAAATTCTACTTTCTGGAGATCCATACTGTAGAGTATCTTTTAACTTTTTCCACTTTTCATGATTTTCAGTCCATACATCATCTAAGACAAGAAGAAACTTATTTCGTTCAATTTTTTGAACTATGTTTTGCATTATAGTTTCTAATTCAACTAACTCTGATGGACTATTTGTGAGAGATTCAAGGATTGCTCTGGCAATCCTAATCTCATCGAAAGGATCAGAGACACACACCCAAATTTTCTTGTCAAAATGGGTGTTGATGTTATCATTATTAAAAACTGATTGAGCAAGAGTTGTCTTGCCGATTCCTCCCATCCCTACTACAGAAATGGTAGAGATGGTTGATCCTTGACTACTCTCAGCTAACAACAAGTTTATTAATTTGTTCCTATCATGATCTCTTCCATATACCTCTTTTAAATTAATAAGAGAGGTAGTTATTTCATGCCCTTCTTGTCTAGTGCCCCTAGTCAAGCTAAAATTGAAATTAACCTTTTCCTCGGCAATATCACCAAGTCTTTCATTTAGATCTTTTATCTTGATAGCAATTTCATGACGTAGGAAAACTTTCTTGCAACAAAAGCAATCAGAGGAGATGCAGGAACATACCTTTTTCCAAAGCTTGGAAGCATTTTCAGCTTCCTTCATTTGTAATTTTCTACTTGCAGTGATCCACTCATCCAACACATCCTCAATGTCATATGAAACATCTTTGAGCTTATTTAACCAATCTCCCACCCTCTTCTCCTTCATTTGCCTGCTCTCCGCATCTTCAAGCACAGCTTGAATGGCCTGGAAATTGCTGGTGAGCTTTCCCACTGCTTTGTCGGCACAAGCAAGAAGTTTCACCTCTTCAGCGGCTAGTGAAGCCAATTGCCTTAGGATTGTGGAGACAAGCGCTTCAGCCATGATCAAAGATGGTAATTGCTTTAAGATATTGAAATATTTGGAGTGTTTAATTGTGTTGTGAAAATTCTAGCCTTCCATTTGTTATTTATAGCCCAAAAAAAGACCACAGAATCTTTCGCCAGATGACTCTAATCAACATGTTGCTTTGATGCTAGTAAAGGTACCAAACTTATCTCCAAGCAAAAGCAATTCTCATATTCTTTTCTTTCTTCATATCCAACAATGTTAGCTTTCTAAAAGCAATGCCACATTTATTCTTTTATTTTAATACATTCTTTGCTTTCATTCTAGTTAAAATATAGAGTGCTAGTATCGTTTTAGTTTATTAGACTTATACCAATGACAAAGCATATATTAATCTCTGCAAACAATCTAAAATGGTTATTCCTTTCACTTTACATATATATATATATATAACGCAAAGAATCCTTATCGTTGCTTTGATGCTAGTCAAGGTATGTTGTTTTCTTTTGTCATGGCTGTAATGCTATATTCTTTTCTTTATACAAATCTTCTCTTGGTGCTAATTAATTTAAAAAATCTTTACAATATATCTGATCCATTCCTTGTAATCTTTAGATTCTTTTCTTTATACAGATCTTCTCCATGGTGCTGATTGTCTTTTTATTGACTCCCCTATTTGTTCTCTATTTTCATGAAGAATATTTATGTCATAATGTATAAAAATTACAATGAAAAACCCATTTGCAAGAGTGAAAACAATGGTAATTTTTAGCTTCAATCAAAATTAAAATTAGACCTTTTGCTTGTAACTTGAATGCCATTCTCTAATGTATGAAAGGAACGAATAGTCATTTCTCAATATACATAATCATAAGGTTCTCAATATACATTTTTCACTACTAGGTACATGTGGAACTTGCTTTTGTTATGGACATTAATGGTCATTGCTCGACAATTTTCCCTTGCATTTGGTACACACTATACTACACGCACATTGAGACGAGGGACAACGATTTATGCACACATTTTGAATGCTTCAAACCACAATTGAGAAATCAATTATCCACTGCAGTGACATTAAATCATGATAATTAGTAAGAAAATCAAATATACAAAAGATAAATATAGTGATTATATTGGTGGGAAATGGCTAATTACCATCAAAATAATACACCAATTATTTTATATTTGTAAGAAGGAGATAATTTATGAAGGAGAGATTCCTCAGTGCTGCAAATATGGATTTGCTTTCAGAATTAAAAACATGCTAAATTGCTTTATGAGATGTCTCAAGGTTTTTACGTGTATTGTATAACAAGGGGAAAACTGTATTTGATATGTTTCTTACTTCTTAGTTGAAGAAAATTGTTTTATGAATTGAACGATATCTTCCTGCCCCTAGAATTTACCTTAAATTAGAGTTGAATAATTAGTGACGAAAAGTCATATACGCCCTCTACCAGTAAATTTCACCACCTATCAAGTTGAAGGACCTTTTTGTTGGTAAAAAGAGGTGAATATACATGAAGCCTATTTCTATCAATCTTTGGTTATAAATAATGAACAATCTTCAATTTCCCTAAAAGTACCATACAATGGATAGTTGAATTTTATTTCCAATGTCACTAAACAGGTATTTTACAATATTGGAATAAAAAATTGAGAGAGAGCTCTTACAGACTAACAAACAAAAATATTTCTGGAAACAAATCTAAAGACACTTCCTATTCTACTACTAACTAGACATTGTTTTAAATAAATCATGTGTATGATGATCAAATCTCCACATTTTTTTGGAAGAAACAATTACATTACATATATGTTACAAAGTATTTTGATCATAGAACTTTTCCTGCCGGTCATAGCTTGTGTGATCGTCAGAAAAGTTCTTTGCTTTCATGCTAGTTAAATTATAGAGTGTTAGTTAGTATCATATTAGTTTATTAGACTTTTATTTTTCATTGTACAAATTCCCCTTGTTTTGTCTCTGTTATTATAAAGTGAATAATTATTTATATGATGCAAAGAATCTTTTTCGTTGCTTTGATGCTAGTAAAGGTATGTCGTTTTCTTTTATCCTATAATGCTATATTCTTTTCTTTATACACATCTTCCCTTGGTGCTAATTAATGAAAAAAAACATTTACAATATATCTTATCCATTCCTTTCCTTGTAATCCTTAGATAATATTTGAGATTTTGTATAAAATTCACTATATCTTGTATAGTGTGGCTCTATGACTGCCTTTCCTAGAAGATCTGTTGATTTTCTTTTTATTGACTCCCTTGTTTTGATAAACTATATTTATGTCATAATGTATAAAATTTACCATATTCTTTTAATGAGATATAAATGCATGAAAGACCCATTTGCAATAGTGAAAACAATGGTAATTTTTAGCTTCAATCAAATTTAAAATTAGACCATGCTTGTAACTTGAATGCCATGTTCTCAAATTGAGAAATTAATTATCCACTGAAGTGACATCAAATCATTATAATTAGTAAGAACAATCAATGTCCAAAAGATAAACATAGTGATTATATTGATATTGGTGGGAAATATAGATATTAAAAGAATAATACTATTATTACAAAAACTATACAAAGTGACATGTTAAGGTATGACCGGATGAATTAACAAAAAAGAATCAAGTTAATAAATGCATATTAAATTATAGTAAATGATATGGCAATGCAAGGAATGTCACATTACTCTATATAGGTCATATTGTATAGAATCTTTGTAAGTATAGTATTATTTATATTAATATATGGGCTAAAAATCACTTCTCCTATTTGTCATGTCATGTAATCCAACCTTCCATATTATGATGCATATTTTTTCAATATTTCAATTTGGAAATTCCGGTTATTATAATTAAGGAACAATGGAGAATTAAATTTTATTTCCAATTTCACTAAATAATGTTGCAATAAATAATGTATTTTTACAACAAGCATTTCTCATAAACCACATCCATGTACAAGACCAAACCACAATGGTAATTTTTAGCTTCAATCAAAATTAAAATTAAACTCTTTGCTTGGAACTTGAATGCCATATCATTCTCTAATGTATGAAAGCTACAAGAAGTTGTTTCTCAATATACATAATCATGAGGTTCTTAATATACATGCTTCACCACTAGGTACATGTTGAACTTCTTCTTGTTTGAGTTATGGACATTAATGGTCATTGCTAGACTATTTTCCTTGCATTTGGTACACGCTATACTACAAGCACATTGAGGCGAGGGACAACGATTTATAATAGAAAGTGTAAGAGACTGCAAGCTCTATGTCAAGCAGTCGAGTTTCAGTACACACACAAGATAGGATGCATTGACCCCATTTGCAAATTGCTCTTGTTATGAATCTTTCACTTTCCTTCCATTTGTCTGAATTTGCAAGACTAGATTCATGTCTTTGCAATACATGTTGTTTGATAAGTTCTATGTGCTCAGAACGATGAAGATTGATAAATTAAAGTGTATCGTTCTGCTAAAATAACTCACCAAGACATGAGCATTCTGTTTGACTGAGCACATTTTCTTTCTCTTTCAAAATTGAAGTTTCAGCCATGCACCCATTTTCAATGCTTGAAACCATAATCGAGAAATCATTATAATTAGTAAGAACAAACAAATGTACAAAAGTTGAACATAAAATTAACACCAAAATGCCCTGTTTTCGCTTCAAAATCGCTATTCTCTGTTGTCCTCAGCCTTCAATTATCAATAGAATAGCCCCAAAGACACCAACTTTGCCTTGGCCTAATCAATTCAGTCAAAGCTCTCCAGCATCTCTCGTGCATAAACCTGTCACAAAATATTGTATTTTATGAAAAGAAATTACCTTTTGGACAGCTTTGAGACAGGCAGTTTACTTTTAATAACTCCTTAAAACCACCCTCTAACTGAAAAATTGTCGTAACTGAATAATTGTGGCTTGTGGCCACTTTTAAGTCTTACAGATTTATGATAACTTAGGCAAACAAGAGCTATTTAAAGTACCGTGAAGTATCCATTTATCTTCCTCACAAGATAACATGATTTTCCCTCAGTTTTATTCTGGCATAATATGATAAATTAGGCAACTTTATGTCGTATATAACAGTGATAACTCATAAATAAAGTACCTGAAATAAGGGATTCGGGAAATCATTAGTAGCTGTTGTTATAAATTACTGAATTCAGAGCTGAGATTCTCGGACAACTCATTGATCGCATTGATAAGAGGGTAGGAGTGATTATATATTCAGTCAAAAACTAGAAGGATGATCATAGAAATTGAAAATTTTAAAAGTTGTTGCAAATTTCAAACAATCAAACAACTGCAATACACGCGTGCCCAAGACTTTTGCATCAGCATTTGTCTCACCTTCATGCATTCTCCTCTCTCATCACAGCCCTGAAGTTCAATAGCTGCTAGCTTGTAACATATTATATTCCAGAATTATGTGACCGCAATTCAGTTAAGCAACCTAAAAGGGGAGACTGATAATCTTAGATGAAAATTTATTCACTCAACTGATCTATGATTTATTAGGCAAATAAGAGGTGAAGTACAATGAAATATCCATGTATAATCCTCTGTTTTATTTTGGCACCATCCCTCAAACGAACTCAATTTTAATTTGTCTATAGTGATTGAAAAATATGCATAGTAACAAAAGAACATATCAAATAAGTGAATTTAAGAGAAAAAGTTAACATTTGCATCCAGGAATGATGATTTCACCAACTTTGCAGTAGGTATCTGCATTTCTAGAGCCTGCAACATTCACAATATGAGAAAGCCTTCGCTAATACTTACACAACCAACACAAAAGTACCTGCATAATAAAGCAAAAGCCAGCAAAGTAGTAATACCTTTGGGCACAAAATAATGGCATATCAGAGAGAGCTGCTATCCAATGTTGACACTCCATGGAAGCCAAGGGTATGGCGACCTTATATGAAACTCTTTACATAAGAAAAGCACATGTTTCCCCTGATTCCAGTCATTGCTCTGCACATCGTGTTGAAAGATCATTTTCAAATAATATGCATATTTTAGGAACAACAAACCTTTAACAT